ATTCCCTGGGGAGCCTGGGCAGTGCCAGCAGCCTCGGGGGGAAGAACCTTGCCCTGAGCTCCATCCCAAGCCCTGGCACAGCTCCAGCCCTTCCTGGATGTGCCAGGGATGTGTTTAAAATGGCTCCTGTCTGCTTTGTGAGCTCAGTGCTCCCACCTGCAACACCTGGAGAGATTCTCCCAAAAGCATTTCCCTGTTCCCTGTCCCTCCCAAGGCTTTACCCCAGGTTTTCCCCAGGGTGAGGAGAGCTTTTCTCATTGAAAAGCTGCTGCTGGTGCTCTGGCCCCGGGGCCACATCAGTTCTGTAGTTTGGGGCAGCTGAGGGGTGACATTGGTGATCCCTGTCCTGAGGGTGAGGATGAGAAGGGAGGCAGCAATGGGCTGGAGTTCTCCAAGTTACACACGGGTTCTGCCCCCAGGAAGCACATTCCAGCTCTGGGAATCTGGGATCTAGGGTGGGCCTTGAAGGAATAATCATCCTTACACCTCCTGTACTGTGTCCAGCAAGGCTCAGAACTGAAGTTCTTGTGCTGTTTTAAAATCCTGTGGGATTTTCAGAATAATCTGGCATTACCCGAAACCTTTTACCCCATTTCTTGTGCCAGAGCCTGAAATCTGTTTGAGTTCTGAACTCCCTGCAGGAATTTTGTGTTGTCTTGGCCCCTCACCCAGGAGGTGAAGTGATTGCTTTCCCATGTACTTTGGGTTCATCCAGAACAAAAAGAATAACTAGAATAAAATAAAAGGATAAAAAGACTGTGTGTGTCTCCCAAGGTTCAGGTGACAAAGTTTCACCTCCTTTAGCACCCATCCCATGGGTTTTATGTGCATCTGTCCCTGCTGAAGGGATTCTCTCACTGAGGGACTCCTGGAAGCCAAAGAGTGGCTGGAGAAGGTTCAGCTCTGTGACCAAACAAAGCAGGGCTTGGCTAAGCTTGGCTTGAGCTGGGAGATGCTGGGATGGTCAAGCCCAGTAGTCAGGAGCAGTTTGAGGTCCTGCTTCCCCAGGATCTGCTGGAAATGTCCTCAGTTCCTGTCGGGAACTGAGGTCTGCACATTTCCCCTTTGGTACTTGCTGCTCTCAGGGAAAAGGGGGATGGCTCCTGGATTGCTCAGGGAATGTTTGACATCCCAGGAAACACCTTCCCAGCTCTGTGGAGAAGAGCCAGAGCCATGGAAACCTGGACTGATGGATCCTGAGCTGGAATCTCCTGGCTGGAAGGTCAGAAAGTGGAAAATTAAAGGAGAACGTTTGAGAGCAGGAAAGTTTATTGAGCATCAGATGGAGTTTTAAAAGAGGGAAGACGAGTGTAAGGCTGAAATCTAAACTGCAACAAGGAAAGGAATTCTGCAGGATCCAGCTGAGGGCCCAAAATCCTGTGTGTGAAATGTCCTGGTGGGGGGTGAGGCTCTGCAAGGGTCTCCCTGGGCCTGGGAGCTCAAACTTTGCCTGAGCATTGCTGGAACATTATTTCAAAGCAGACAGAGACCATTCCTTTATTAGTCTGTGTTCTGGGGATTAAACAGGAATTCTGACTGGGCAGGATTACAGGGTGGCCAGAGGAAATTCCTGAAGAGGAAATTCTGAAGAGGGAATTCTGAAAAGGAAAATTAAGACAACTGGGAAGTGAAAAGGTTGGACACCAGCTCTGTTCCTGCAAGAAATCCTCAGCTCTGAGGGGTCAGGACATCCCTGCATGTGAGCAGTGATTTGTGAGGCACAATGGGAATTTGTTCCCACATTCCCTGGGTATGGAAATGCTCCACTCACACGCAGCTTGGGATCCCTATTTCCTAAGTATAAAGCTGAGCCAAGATTTTTTGAGGCAGAAATAAAGGGTCAGATCTGCCCAGGGTGTTTTGTTTATTTTTGATTACAACAGCAAAGGGGTTTTGTTCCAATGATTTGGATGGGATGTGGGGAAATGGAGTTATTTCAGACTGGTTCATGTTTTATCCTTGCTGCCTCCCTCACTGAGGCTGGAATTTGATTCCTGGAAGCTCCCCATGGTCCCTTGGATCTGTCCCATGTTCTGGAATTCTACACCCAGCAGAGCCTTTCCTGGCACCTCTGGGATATTACAAGGCTAAATCAGCACATTCAGGGATCAAAGCTGTGTTTAAAAATGCACATTCCTGCACTAAGGACTCAGCGAGGGTTATACTTTGAGCTTATATTTAACTATATTAAATATTCTATTCTATTATTCTATTTCATTATATTAAATATTAATGTATTTATTGTATCTATGTCTATCCTTTAGGTGTTTGCACTTACAGCCTGTCTTACATTACCCAGGCATTGAACATTGGGGGTGCTCACCTGGAGAAGAGAAGGCTCCAGGGAGAGCTCAGAGCCCCTTGCAGGGCCTAAAGGGGCTCCAGGAGAGCTGGAGAGGGACTGGGGACAAGGCCTGGAGGGACAGGACACAGGGAATGGCTCCCACTGCCAGAGGGCAGGGCTGGATGGGATATTGGGCAGGAATTGTTGGCTGGGAGGGTGGGCAGGCCCTGGCACAGGGTGCCCAGAGCAGCTGTGGCTGCCCCTGGATCCCTGGCAGTGCCCAAGGCCAGGCTGGACGGGGCTTGGAGCAGCCTGGGATGGTGGAAGGTGTCCCTGCCATGGCAGGGGTGGCACTGGATGGGATTTAGGATCCCTTCTCACCCAAACCATTCTGAGATTCCATGGATTTAATTCCCAGCCCATCCATTTGCTGTTACCACCTGATTCTTCCTAAGAGTCCACAGAGATTCCCAGGAAATCAAGCACTAAACAAAACGTGTGAACCTTTCAATCACCTGATAACAATTATTTGTACTTTTGAGTATTTCCAACCCTCCAGAACTTCCTGCTTTTCCCCACCAGGAGCTGCTCCCTGCTCCTTTCTCTTCCCAACCACGTTACACAACTTAACCCCAAATGCTCTCAGAGGTGAAAAAAATCCTTTCAGTGGCACCTGAGGCCTTCAGCCTCTCTGTTTTTGTGCCTCCAGTCCCACCTGCTCAGGGTTTGTGCGAGGAAAAGCTCAGCTTAACCAACACCTTTGTCCTTCCTGACTTTTGCTGCTCCAGCCAGCTTTTCTGTTCCTGGTTTAGATCATGGATGGAACCTGGGCATTCCCAGGATTTCTGCTTTTCATGGAGCTGGGTGCTTTACAGAGATACTGTGGATTGTCCTGGTTATCTGAGAGTTTCCACAAAAGCCTCTTTCCTAACATCTTAGTGGGAATTAACTTTGAAAGTTGTATATTAATATGTGGGAATTCTAAATCCTGCTGTGGAATCACCCACGTTTCTTTAGGAAATCCTATTCCCATAAGCAAACTTTTCAGAGGATTGGGTCCCTCTTCCCAAGAGGGAAAATGAGGATGAGGGATTGAAATCACGAGAATCTTAAATAAATCAGGAAACTCAACCCCACAGATCTGTTTGTTCATCCTGTGAGGAGTTTGATCCCTTCTCCAGTTTTCCCTGGGATTGCTTTCCCTGGTGTCCCTGTGGGGTTTGTTCCAGGTCTAATAAATGGGAAAGGTTTTCTGAGGTTCAAACCCAAGTTCCCTTTGTCCCAGGTTATTCCCTAACACCCCAGACTGTTTGGACTGATGGAGCTTGGAACTGTGCCTGTTCTCACCAAGCAGCAACAAAGGAGATTCCAAAGAGATCCAAGGAAATAAAACTGAGTTTGCCTCTGGATTTCAGGCTATTTATTGTTATGGTGGCCAGCAGCAAATCTCTGAAGTTCTTCTGGAGTGTTTGGAGCATTATCCAGCAGGTACAAGGTGTCCTAAACCTCCCCACAGTGTCACTGAGATCCTAAACCACCACAGTGTCACTGAGATCCTAAACCTTCCCACATTTCACTGAGATCCTAAACCTCCCCACAGTGTCACTGAGATCCTAAACCTTCCCACATTTCACTGAGATCCTAAACCTCCCCACAGTGTCTCTGAGATCCTAAACCTTCCCACAGTGTCACTGAGATCCTAAACCTCCCCACAGTGTCACTGAGATCCTAAAGCTCACCACAGTGTCACTGAGATCCTAAACCTCCCCACATTGTCACTGAGATCCTAAACCACCCCACATTTCACTGAGATCCTAAACCACCACAGTGTCACTGAGATCCTAAACCACCACAGTGTCACTGAGATCCTAAACCTCCCCACAGTGTCACTGAGATCCTAAACCTCCCCACATTTCACTGAGATCCTAAACCTCCCCACATGTCACTGAGATCCTAAACCTTCCCACAGTGTCACTGAGATCCTAAACCTTCCCACATTTCACTGAGATCCTAAACCTCCCCACATTTCACTGAGATCCTAAACCTTCCCACAGTGTCACTGAGATCCTAAACCTTCCCACATTTCACTGAGATCCTAAACCTCCCCACATTTCACTGAGATCCTAAACCTTCCCACAGTGTCACTGAGATCCTAAACCTTCCCACATTTCACTGAGATCCTAAACCTCCCCACAGTGTCACTGAGATCCTAAACCTTCCCACATTTCACTGAGATCCTAAACCTCCCCACAGTGTCTCTGAGATCCTAAACCTCCCCACAGTGTCTCTGAGATCCTAAACCTCACCACAGTGTCTCTGAGATCCTAAACCTCCCCACATTGCTGCTGAGGCTCACAGGAAATTTAAAGAGAAACTTCCAGAGTTTTGGTGCCATGTCCAGAGGCAAAGGGACGGGAATGGCTGGCCAGGAGTGTTGGAGCACAAGCCATCATCTCATTGTCTTCTGACCTGTCTAAACCCCCTCAGCTTCAAAAAGAACGTGATGCCCCCAACTCAACCCCGTTGTTTTCCAATGGAGCCATCAGTAGGAAAACAAAGGTCACGTGAGGAATTCATCTGGAATCCCAACAGCAACATTCCACAGGATCTTCCCTCCGCAGCCCCTGGTGCTGCAGAAAGGCACCAGGCAGGGAACAAAGCAGCCATGATGCACCCGCCACCCAGACAGCTCCAGCAAACAAAAAGCATCTCTTACCTGCTCTGCCGAGGAGCCTGGCCGCTTTGGGGGATCCCTACAGCAGCTGGGCAGCAGGAAAGGGAAAAAAAGAGGGAAAATAATCTCTGTGGAGTGAGGGTTGTGTCGATTTGGGGAAAGAAGAGGCCGCAGCATCCAACGAGAGCTCTGGCATTCGCAAACCACCGCTCGCTGGGTTTCTCTGAAATGTGACCCTATTTCCTTGTTGCACAGGAAAGGAAAGGAGAGCAAACAAAAGCTGTGCAGTTCTGAAAAGTGAAAGAGCTCTGAGATCTCCTCTGTGCCAGGGCAGGGGTCTGCTGTGGAAGAGAACAGATCAGAGGGAGGTGGTGAGGAGCTGTCGGTATTGAAATGAATGTTTTACAGCAGTTGTTGCCTGGAAAGTGAAGTTCTCCCCTTGATGGTGAGAATGCTGGATGTTGGTGGGAAAGGGAATCCTGGCCACAGGATCACACAATCAGCCGGGCTGGAAAAGCCCTCTGAGGTCATCGAGGCCAAGCTGTGCCCTATCCCCACCTTGTCCCCAGCCCAGGGCACCAAGTGCCACATCCATCCCCGGACACCTCCAGGGATGGGCACTCCAAACCTCCCTGGGCAGCTCCTGCCAAGGCCTGAGCTCCCTTTCCATGGGGAAATTCCTCCTGATGTCCTCCAAATTCCTCCTGGAGTAGCTTGAGGCCATTTCCTTCGTCCTGTCCCTGTTCCCTCAGAGCCCAATCCTCCCCAGCCACCCCCTCCTGTCAGAGCCATTGTCATGCCAGGCTGGGCCTCAGGGAGGTCACAGACGAGTAAGGAAAACCAAATTTCTTTGGATTTTCCACATCCAAGCCAGGAGCTACTGAGAAAGGCCCTCTGTGAGGGGCTGCTTGGAAGTTGTGGTTTGTGATGGGCCAGAGCAGGCTCAGGAGCCCAAGAGGCCTCTCATGGCCTGGTTCTCCTCCCTGTTCCTGATCAGTGATCAGCTCTTTGTGCTGCCAGCGTGGCCAGAATGTTGTCATCTGAGCTGGGGGACCTTCCATCTCCAGTGCCACCACTGCCAGCTGGGCTGGGGACCATCCAGCTCCAGTCCCACCAAGGGGTGTTTGTTTTGTGGGACTTCCAGCTGCTCCTCAGGGCCAGGCCTCCCTTTCCAGGATGAAAAATCTCTGTTTCATCCCCAGCTCGCTGCCACCTATCCTGGAAATGTTGGGTCCAGGGACAAGGGCCAGCCTTGGAGAAAGGCTGTGGCACCACAGAATCATGGAATATTTTGGGTTGGAAGGGAGCTTTAAAGCCCATCTTGTTCCTACCCCCTGCCATGGGCTCCACCTCCCTCTGGATCAGGGTGCTCCAAGCCCCATCCGTGACTGATTCCTGCTGAATTCAAAGAGGTGTCCCAAGGAGATGGATGGGAAATCCCAAAGTTTCTTTCTTTTGCTGGCAGAAAATTGTACTGTAGAAATCGGGACTAAGGCCCTGATTAAGCAGGATGAGTTTAGTGATGTTCAGGACTGATTGGAATAAAAAAATTTGGGAATAGGTTGGGTTAAAGTACAAGGTATCCCTGAGCATCCCTCAGCCCCATGGAATGCTGAATTCCCCCCAGGAGCCCTTTTTTTCTGTTTTCACATGGAATTCCTCATGATGTTTACCCAGAAATCCACAACAAAGCTTTTTCCAAGGACAAGGTGAGATCCTGAGGTGAAAATGCAGCATCCCAACACCACCCCCCTCAGCAAAACCCACATGAATATTTGTCCTTTTCCCCAAAATCCCCACAAAATTCTGGGATCAGGCACAAGGATCTCGACAATCACTTCTTGATGTCTCTGCTCTCAAAGCCTGTGGCTCCTTCAAGCCAGAGTTACACTTTTGGGAAACACCAACCCTATTTTATTTAACACCTGGGACTAATTAAGCCCAGCTTTACTGTTGAGCAATTAGTTTACATGTCTGTGCCCCGGTGGAAAAACAAACCCGTTTGTTTCCAGCTTGTTTCACTCGCAGGTTCTCAACCTGCAGCCTCTGGGCTCCAAACAAAGCCGAGCACTTTGTTTATTGCTGCAGTAGCTGAAGGGCTGAATGGAGCTTTGTTGTGTTGGGTGCTGAACAGCCATAAAAAGGGTGAGTCTGTGGCCAAGGAGCTTGTCCCAACATGGACTTGGGGCCAGGCTGTGATGTAGAGCCAGAGCTGGGAACTCTGCCCAGGCCCTGCAGTTCAGACATAGCAAGGCAGGGAGAATATTTCATTTTATGTACAAAATGCTTACACAAAAGTACCCTGTCAGGCCTCAGCAGCGTTCCCTGTGTGTCCTAATGGCAACCAGGAGAGTCTGCAGCCTTTTCAAGCCTTCAGACGAGCCCTGGCCTTGGTGTTGTGTGGGTTGGACACGTTGGGCACCATCCAGCACCACCAGGAAGCGCCAAATGGGCCTGGAAGTCTCGGTCTTTGTGTTTCCCTGGGGTTCAGGCCATCATTCCAGAGGGTTCCCAGCATTCTGGGCAGTTTCCAGCATCCCAGTGGGGTTTCCATCCTCCCACCAGGGTTTCCAGCATCATGGGCAGCTTCCAGGATTTCAATGGGCTTTCCAGGATCCCGATGAGATTTCCAAGGGGTTTCCATCATCCTGACAGGGTTCAGTTCATCATCCCAGGGGGTTCAGGATCCTGCCATTGTTTCCATCGTCCTGAGAGGGTTCAGGATCCCACTGTTGTTTCCAGCATCCTGGTGGGATTTCTATCATCCTGAGGGCTTCAGGATCCTGCTGTTGTTTCCATCATCCAGAGGGCTTGGGGATCCCGAGGGGTTCAGGATCCTGAGGGTTTCTGGATCCTGTCATTGTTTCCATCATCCCAAGGGGTTTGGGATCCCGAGGGATTCAGGATCCCGAGGGGTTCAGGATCCCAAAGGGTTCAGGATCCCGTCGTTGTTTCCATCATCCCAAGGGGTTTGGGATCCCGAGGGGTTCAGGATCCTGAGGGTTTCTGGATCCCGCCGTTGTTTCCAGCTCCCGGCGGTCCCGGCGCGCTCGGTGCAGCCACAGGAGGCTGCGTTGTCACCGGGCTGCTCCAGGTGCTCTCCTCTCCATCCCCTGGACATGAGGATTTCAAATACCTGCTGGAAATTCAGCCTCATCTCCTCATGCCAGGGAGAGGAAGCAGCTGGGTGATTTTGGAGGTGAAATGTGGGCGTTGTCAGGCAGATTTTGTCAGGCAGATTTTCAGGTGGTTTCTGATACCGAACTAATCTGAAAAATAAACTTTCTAGCAACCTCAGGGACTGAAAATTTCTATTCTTAATGCTGTTTCTCACCTCTTTGCTGTGAGCCTCTGGTCATTCTACCACTCCCTGTTTTCCAGGATTTGTGCAGGTGATGGAGGTCTTGTGAGGGTTGTGCTGCTCCCTCCCCTCCTCAGAGACGGGTCAGGACTGGAGTAAAGCCCATTTTTGCAGCTGGTCTGGTACAAATCTGAGGGTCCTCAGAGCAGTGCTGGGTTGGGGTACAGGGCTGGGGGAGCCAGGAGCCAAGTCAGGAGCCTCTAACTCTGTATTTAACACCCAAGAGGGACTGGAAACCCTTCAAATCAGGGAAAAAGAAGTTTTCCAAAGGGTCTGGCAGAGCAGAGCCACTGTCTGGGGAAGGAAATCTGCCCCTCTGTCCCTGTTCATTCCGCTCTGTGTTTGAGACAAGCCCCAGCAGACAGAACACCCCTGGAATGGCACCAGGCCATGCTTGCAGCAATTAGTTTTTCCTTGGCCAGCAGCAGCACCATTCAATTAAAGCCCAAATATTTTGTTCAGTTGCTCTTTTCTGGGTGTGCTCTGGGGGCTCAGACAATGGCCAGCGTGGCCTGGGGAGGAAGGAAACCACTCTGTCCACCCAGCCAGGGAACTGGCCCAAAATGCAGCCCAGCAATCGATCCCAGCCCCTTCTGAACTCGGTTTTCCAGTGCAGAGCCAGCCCTTTCCAGTTTGGACAGAGAGAGTGAAGCTGGGGGCTGTGATCTCCCACCCTCACCTCCTCCTGGGAGCAAAGGATGTTTTCCCTGTTTTTCCTGGGCTATTGGGATGAGCAAACCTTCCAGGCAGCACAAAATGCTGGGGAAGTCAGGAGATCCCCTCCCTGAGGGGAGTTGAAGGTGCTCCAAAAAGGGTTTAAACAAATCCATGGCAGAATATGAATTACAGCTGGTCCAGCTCCAGGCCAGGTTCATCCTGCTTTGCTGATAGCAGAGGATTTAGGGGGACCCACCACAAAAAGTACCACAGCTTCTTGCTTTTTCCTTCATCCTGGTTTGTTTTCTTTTTCGGGCCAGCATCCCATCAGGACACAGGGCTGGCCAAGCCTTTGAGGCGTTTTTCTTTCCCCATGCCCATCTCACGGTCTGGTGGCTGCTGGGGCAGCCTAGGTGGCACCAGGAGCTCTGGCTGTGTCCTGTGGCTTTGGCTGTGCCTGCCAGGGTCAGGGCAGGACTCGAGGCTGCCGGGGCTGTCCCACACTTGGCACCCACACAACTGCCCAGGGATGTAAATCCCACCCCACAGCCCCCCTGCAATCCCCTCCCGGAGTCTCAGCTTCAGGCAGTTTGCTTTAATTCGTGTTTATAATGTATTTTTATATGCTATGTCTCCCCCTGGCAACTTTGAACTCTCCATTCAAATCCTCCTGGAAGAAAAGGCACTGCCAGGGAGGTTTTGGGGTTGTTCTGTCCCCGCTGAGGGCTCGGGCTGAGGGTCCATCCACACCCTGGTGCTTCCATCCCTTCCCTGTGTCCTTCCCCAGGGCCCCTCTCTCTTCCCAGGGAAAAGCAGGGCAGCTCGGAAAGGCTCATTTTTCCAACGTTTGCAGCACTGCCAGGTAATTCTCTCTCCACCAAAGCTCACAAATTCAGCTTTGAAATCCCAGAGCCGCCTTCAGAAGAAAGGAGGAAATGAGCTCCTGCCTTTTATTGTTGCTGATTGCTTGAGGTGTCCTGCGAGGGGGTTGTTTGGGAACAAGCAGCATTTGGTTATTTCCAGTGTTTATTCTTCACTTTGGAGGTGGATTGTCCTCGGTGGGACACTCCACGGTGGCAGCAGGACAGGAGAATGCCGGAATCACCGGAGCCAGCGGGGCAGGAATGATGTAACTGCAGAGGGAAGGG